CGTTCAAAACCTTTTTATTTCCTGACAATTTTTTTTTTTTGTCAAAGTAAGAGTCATTAGAGATGGTAAATCACCTACTCTTTTTTTTTTCAAATTTGCGCTAATTAACTAAAAATCTGCTCTGAATTGAAAAATAATGAATCCAATAAATCTATGATATTACTTAATTAGAAAAGCTTTTAATTGCTTTTGTAAATAAGTAATATTAAGGTCATTATTGCCTGAAGAAATAAATTTTTTCTGATGAATAATTAAATTTTACAAGAATTTTTTCATTTGTTTTACATTTTAATTAATAATTTATAATAGTTTAAAAATTGTGCAAAATTCTCTATTAGCCTATTTCCTTGTGATAATTAGTAATTAAGTAGAAACAAAATTTACGAGTTCAAAATTGCAAAGTATAATAAACTTAGTGGTGCTAATTTTTTTTCATATAATTTTTTATGTTGTATTTTTTTACTTAATACGTTCCATATTTCCATGTACAGTAGACTGAAATTGCCATTATTATAAAAAGAGTTTTGTCCCTTTCACTAAAGCTAAAAAAAAAAAGCGTTTTCTCAGATTTCTAATAATTTTCATTTATGGTCATCCGTAGTAGCTGTCATCACTCGTCAATCAACACGTAGATCATGTATTGGATAAAAATAACAGTACCAATCGTTAATAATTGGTTGTATATTATTTTTTTATACTAGAAGTAAGTAATATTTCTTTTAAATCAGATTAATTTACAGTATTTACATTAGTCGGACTATTGTCCTCATCTTTGTCGCCATATTTGTCACAACGTTTCGGCCGTTGTACGCTCCGGCCTTCTTCAGGTGGTAGGAATTTCGAACCGAACCCTTTATTTCGATCACTGGGGTAGACTGTTCTAGTTCCACGTGCCATGTTTGATGGATGTCAGTTATCAGTTATCTCCTGCTAATTTTCCCTCTGAAAGTTCTCCACTGCCTTAACCGGGTATTGAACTCACCTTCTTTGGGTCTATCACTGGATCTAACCAACGCCTTTATCCACTGTGCCATGTGTCCTTGAGGACATCTGGGTATGAACTTCTACTTATTATAAACCTAATGTTTTCAGCATCATTTTTACCAGTGCTCATATTGCAATTTTTGTTGTTATCATTGCATGTCTTTAAAAGAGTTCATATTGCAACTTTGTTATCATTGAGGAGGAGGCACTCCAATTACTGGTTCCCATAAATTTAGTTCTATGCTTGGTCGGCTCAGGAAGGGGTTATGGCCTAATATACAAAGGATTCCTGTTTTTACATATTTTCAGGACAACCCTTCTAAATTTCAACATGATCCCACAGGGGCGGTGATCTCCCTTCTCTCTCCCCACAGAGTCAGCCACGCCTGATTTTTCTACTTCCCTCTCGTTACAGCTTTCAGCTGTTCTTGAAGGAATACCTTGAGGGGCAGCCTGTTTCTCCTTTATATTCCTTTCCGCAGAACACCAGAAAGCTGTAACACAGTCTTTAGTCAATTCCTCTCTGTGGGGACCTCACTTGGAGAGAGAAGGGAGTTGTCATGCTTTTGAAGGATGTCCTGATGTTATATGGACCAACATCCTTTGTATTTTCTCTGATAATCCCTTCACATAAGGCAGGCAGAAAAAATTTCCTGAGTTGTTGTCCTCCTAGAAATCCTCCTCCAATATACCCGCCTACCAGTTTTAAGGAGCTGCCATGTAAAAGGTATTGTTCCAAAGATGTTAGATGAACTCTGGTAAAGACATGCAATGTAACCTAAAATTGCAACAACTACTGGGTAAAAATGATGCCCCAAAAAACATTAGGTTTATAATACTCAGGAGGAGGAGGAGGACCCAGATGTCCTCAAGGAATATAAAGGGATAAAGGCGTTGGTTAGATCCAGTGATAGACCCAAAGAAGGTGAGTTCAATTCCTGGTTAAGGCAGTGGAGAACTTTCAGAGGAGATAACATCCATCAAATCCATGGCACATGGCAACTAGAACAGTCTACCCCAGTGATCGAAATAAAGGGTTCGGTTCAAATTCCTACCACCTGAAGAAGGCGGAGCGCATAACAACGGCCGAAACGCTGTGACAAATATGGCGACAAAGATGAGGACAATAGTCCGACTAATGTAAATACTGTACATAATACCTCATCTCAGAAATATAGACACACCCAGATTAATTTAACATTAAATTTTCTAATTTTACTAAAATAACGTGTCAGAAACTTTTTTAAATATTTTTAAAATCGATAAATTTGTGTTTGTTTACAAATTTTCGTAAAATTAAGAAAATGGCGGGAATTACGAAAATTTAAAATTCCAAAATTAAATTTGACATTCCAATGTATATAGTTTCTATCTGAAATACACCAGAATTGTTTCCTTAATGGAAATAATAAATTTAATGATTAAACTTTCAATTAAAGCTAAAATGAAATCTTCAAACATGTTTTTTCATTTTTAAAAATTTATTTTAAAGTTAGGTATCGGAAATTTTGCCGGAAAAAGTGGAGGTACCTAGTTTTACAATTTATGATTTTTACTTATTGAATACAGTAATAAAAATTGCATATTTTGCTTGTGGTGATTCATAATTAGAATTCTGATTTGAATATATTTTCCACTCGTTGTTTCTAATACAAAAAATATTAACTTTATTTGGGTTTATTAATTATGATCTAACAAATCTTATTCATTTAGTAGCCTCTCTGTAATATATAATAATCTTTTAAATTTATGATTTTTACTTATTGAATACAGTAAAAAAAAATTGGACACCATGTGTATTTAAAGTAGTTTCCGTTCAACAAATTATTTTTAGTTAGGACTTGTGTATGTTTAGATTTCATTATCTTTCCCTAAAGATAAAGAATTTATGTTTGTATTCATACAATCAGTAGAGATCGTTAGATTATTGTTTAAGGTTGACGGACACGCATGTCTTAATTATTTTTTTTGTTTTTTTTAACAAATTGGTCAAACCCAAACTCAAACAAAAACATTGTTTTCAATCGTTATGAGTCTACTGATTGAATAGAATTTTATTATAAATAATTGTCTTGTAAATGGAATTTTAAAGCATTCTGAATGTTAAAAAAAAGAAAAAAGTGTGCAAGAGAATAAAAGAAACACTACCTGCCAAAAAAAAAAAAAAAAAAAAAAAAAGTTAAGTTTTGTTTTATCGGCTGAAAAATATAGGAAATCCGCTCCCCCATATTTAAAGTAACCCCCCACACACACACACGATGTGAGTTGTTCCCCTTCCATTTTCACGATGTCTCTTAATCGTGTCTTCAAATTGATTTTGTGCAAAAACAATTATATTTTTCCCATTTTTAGCGCTGTTAGAACCACCACAAGGTAATTTTATGTAGTCCTGTGAAGTTTTGTTGAAATCGGTTGAAAAATGTAGGAAATCCGATCCAATATATAAACGTTACAGACAGACACACACACACACACACACACACACACAATCTGCATTTTATAATAAGTAAGATAAGATCAAGACAACTATCATTATGCAAACAAAAGGATTGGTTATTAGGAATTAGTATGATTTGCTTATAGATATACTTCTTTCATTATATTATTAACATGTTTATTTCCTTTCTAATGTTTACATTTTTTAGTTTGTTTGCACGGTATTTTATTTTCAATAATTGAGTTCTGACGAGTGAGGAGCAATAACTGGTTAGCTCATTCTGTAGTATTTTGTTTTTTCTCTTTTCATTTTTCTCTTTCCCTTTTTTAATTAGCTTTGTTTTTATTACATTAAATTTGATAATTCAAAAATGCATTCTATTCAGTAATTCTTTATAATTCTAAAACATTTAATTCATCAAATTAAGACATCTTGGAAATATTTTGTAGACCAATAGATCAGATTATACAGTAACTAGATCTAAAATATTTACTGTATAATTTTCAAGCTATGTGATTAATGGAGAAGCACTGGATAAAGTGCATTAAAAAAGAGTATACTGAAAAATATGTAAAATAGATGTTTTCTTTATAATCAAGCTGTAGACTTATTAGTAATGTAGTGTTAAATAACAAATTAAATGTTAAATTTTAATTGAAATGTTTGAATACAAATTTGAATATTTAGGAATATAATACTAAATTTTGGTTAAGAGATTCTTCAGTTATTTCAGATGAGTAAGCTTTTAAATAACACTCAACTATACACAAAAGCCAAAGAATACACTTAAATACTGATTATCATAATACACATTAGTTAGTTTCTTAAGTTGCTTGACATTTGCCTATGTGATATTGTTTAGTCCATGTAATTTTAACAAATTTGAGTATTGTAAATTATAGCACTAGAAAGTCTATCATTTAGGTTTATGAAAAAAGCATGTTCATTGAAAAGTGATAAAACTGTACATTATTTACATTATTTGGACTATTGTCCTCATCTTTGTCACCATATTTATTACGTTTTGGCCATTGTATGCTCTGGCCTTCTTCAGGTGGTTGGAATGTCGAACTGGACCCTTTATTTCGCTCACTGGGGTAGACTGTTCTAGTTCCACGTGCCATGTTTGATGGATGTCAGTTACCAGTTATCTCCTGTTAATTTCCCTCTGAAAGTTTTCCACTGCCTTAACCGGGTATTGAACTCACACTCTTTGGGTTCTGTCACTGGATCTAACCAATGACTTTATCCACTGCCATGTGTCCTCAAGGACATATGGCACAGTGGATAAAGGCAAATAATGTAAATAATGTACATAATACCTCATCTCAGAAATATAGACAGACTCTGATAAAATTGTATAAAATAGAAACCTAACGAATCCTATTCAGAGTAAGAAGTGAAATTTAGTACATTGATTTATCAGATTGTGATAATTATCTGCTGTCAATTTATTGATAATTATTCATGATTCTTTTTAACTATTGTTAATATTTTAAAAATATCCATTCATTGCTGGGTTTAATTTTAAAAAAAATTTTTGTGAATACTTTTCAATTGCTAACAATTTCTGTTTTAGTCCTCATCTGCTGATGTTTCACCATGTCCTACCCCAGTCGGTACACCTATAAGTACACATGCACCAAAATATGGCACTGTGATACCAAACAGAATATTTGTTGGTGGAATTACCACAACAGTAAGTACATGTTTGTTGCATTTCATAATTTATTTTTATTCAAAGCATGCATTTAACTTAATACATAATTTAACTTAATGCATAATTTATTTAAGGTTGAACTTTAGTGTAAACAAGTTTTACCAATTCATTCCTGATGGTACATATGCTGAATTAGCTTCATAAATGCCAATAACTGCCAAATCAGTATATAATACTAATTTGTACTTGTATTTTAATATTGGTGGATAATTTTTAATTAGGTAATCTATATTCTTTTATAATTCTCAAAATGTGGCAATGTAAATTTGATTGTCACTTGTTACTTGGTCTTAAAAGTTAATTTTCAAAGCATGTATACAGGTATGTTTTGTATCAAATCTAAATGCGTATATAACTTTATCTGCATTAAGTGTACTATTTTAGCTAATATATTGTTTCAATAACATCAAGCTTAACGTTTTAAAATATAGAACCAAAGCATGTTTCTTTTAGAAAAGTAAAAATCTCCTTAGAGCAAGGAAAAATTATGAACAGAAATTTCAATATTGCACTCTGTAATATTTTTATATTAAAAATGTTTTTGAACAGTAAGTTCATTAGTCAATATGTATTCATCCCCAAACTGTATAACAAACTGGCCACCAAACAATTGAAATTTATTTTTTTTCAAGCTGAAAAAGAAAATACATTCTAGTAATACTGACACCCATATAAAGTACTGAAGAATAAATTAGATAATATCACACTGAAAATAGTGAAAACAAAATAAGCTTTTTTTTTTTTTTAAACAATAAATATGATAATTTATACCAGTTTGATATTAGTACATTCTTTACATTATCAGGAAACCTTTAACTTTTAATGCCTTTAAAAATCTTGTTTTTGTAACATTTTATATTCCTTATCTGTCTATTTCTGAGATGAGGTATTGTAATTATTTACACTATCTACATTGTTCGGACTGTTGTCCTCATCTTAGTTGTCATATTCATGATGTTTTGATCATTTTATGCTCTGGCCTTCTTCAAGTATTTGGAATTTCAAACTCAATCCTTTATTTCAACCACTGGGGTAGATTGTACGAGTACCACATGCCATGCCACTTCTGGATATCTTGTATCAGTTATCTCTCTTTTAACTCGACTCTCAAAAGTTTTTGTTCACTTCTTGCTGTAGCCAGGTATTGAACTTACAAATCTTTGGGTCAAGTCACTGGATTCAACCAACACTTTTATCCACTGGGCCATGTGTTCTTGAGGAAAGTTGTTCAAAGGGAGATAACTGATACTGAGATATCCAGAAGACGCATGGCACATGGAACTAGAACAATCGTCCAGTGGATAAAATAAATGGTTCAGTTCAAAATTCCAAACATTTGAAGAAGGCCAAAGTGTACAATGGTTGAAATGTGAATATGGCAACAAAGATGAGGACAACACTGTAAATAGTGTAAATAATCACGTTCCCTATTAATGATATCTATTAAGCAGGTTTTTTCACATTTTTAGTATCTTTGAAAACATAGTTGCTATATCAGGTATATTTTTATATTTTATATAATTTTCAGAAAATATTTTTTAAAATAGTTTTCTATAAATATATGAAGAATAAAATTTTTACTTTTAAAATTACATTGTTTTATATATACATATAAACTATGTTTTGAAATTCCTTATTGATGGTGCAGTGGCTTAAGAAAAGTTTTTAGCCAGGAGAAATAAACTACATTCAATTTCAAAATTTAATTACATAATCCCTACTCAACATAAATAAACAGTATTTGGAACTAGTATAGGGTAGGTCCTCCATTTGCTAGTTTCAGTGCTTGTATTCGATTTTTCATGGATTTGATCACGTTATCAACAGTTGGCTGAGCCACTCCTTTAGCAATGTTTCTTTAAGGGTTACCACTGACGTGATTTTGCTTGCACACTCTTGAAGTTTTCAGTGAAGGTGCTCCCAAATGTGCTGTACTGGATTCATCTCAGGACTTTGGGCTACCTATAGCAGGGACTTCATTCCCTGCGATTCCCTCTAGGCCTTTCCTACTCTGCTTGTATGACATGGTGCTCCATCTTGATAAAGGTACATAGTCTTGTCAATCTAATTGGTTTCAAATAGTGGGAGTATTCCTTTCTCTAATATTTGACAGTATTTTGGACCATTCAACTGCTTGTCAACAGGAATCAGATTTCTCTCCAGATCAGACAGTGCCCCAGACCATTGCTCCAATCCCTCCATGTTTCACAGTCACCTGCAGACATTCAGTGTTCCAAGTCTCATTCTGATTTTTCCAAACATAAACCTGTCTTGAATTCGGATACTGGCAGAATTTAATTTCATCTGACCAAATTACAGATTGCCAAAATTCATAATATTTGCTCTCAAATTCTTTTGCCCAGTCCATACGCCTGCTCCTGTTAAAACCTGAAATCAAGGGATTCTTTCTTGCAACTTTTCTTTGATAGCCTAGCTCTTTCAAAGTCTTTCTCACTGCATATGGTGACATTTAAAATGATGCTGTTGATGACATCTTTGATCTTTCGTCTTCAGCGCCCTTTTCATTCACTCAGACACAATGCTTGGTCTTCTTGAATGTTGTGCCACACGACAATGGCCAGAGTATGAATGTTGGTACCATTACTGAAGGCCTGAATGATCTTTTTCCTCTCACCATTGCTCATTTAGGAAGACGGTGTGTCTGACACAAAACAATTTTAACCTGCTCTCTTAGCTGAATAACTCAAAGGGTTTTTCAGTGATTTTTATGAAAAATGGTGTCAAGATGGCTAAACAAATTATCTGAAAACCTGGAAAAAAAAAACTCAATTAGTTAATTTTTTTTTTTTTAAGATATTGAGCATTTTGTGCGAATGATAATTATGCTGTTAGATGATTTATACAATTTTGGTGTTGCACCTTGTGTGTGTGTGTGTGTGTGTGTGTGTGTGTGCATGCGTACGCACGCACAATAAAATTTCTTCCCTGGATATCAAAACACATCTAGCCAAAACTGTAGAACAACACCATGAAGATGGTCAAACTCCTTGGAATTGATGCCTCATCTGATAAGGAAAGACATGTAGACTGGTGTCATCGGACTGTTATCTAAAGACTGCATCAAATAAAAAAATTAGAATGTTTGAAAATTAAATCAATGTGGTCAGTTAGAACATATTAAGCAAGAAATGGATGGTTAAATATTAATATTTTAGGTTGACAAAAAAATGCAGATTTATCTCAGTGACAAACACAGGGTCATATAGGCAGTCAGATAAAAATAAGAGGAGAGTAGGACTGAACTCATTAACCGTTACCACACTAATTCTTTCTAGAATTGTTCCCCCTGCCACTGCATTTTTTTTTTTTTGAGCTTGCAAAAAACATGAACACCTACCGTTTTAAAATTGTTATAACTTTCTTTGTATTGTGCGTATAGATTTTAATTTTTGTACACTAATAAAAGAATGAGTAATATTTTGATGTAATGCATTACATTTTATATGCATGTTTTAACATTGAAAACCAAAAAAAAAATTGAAATGCAAAATAAAAAAGTGGAATAAAGTGGAATAAAAAACAAATACATTAAAAATACATAAATAATTCAGCATACTTTAACTTTTATTACTTGTGGAGTTCTGGGGGTGCGATAAGAAGCAAAAAAAGTGATGCTTTTTCTCATGTTTACATATGAGAAGACACTAGCATTTTGCTTTTTCTTTCACCTGACTCATATTTATTTGTTTATATTTGACGAATAAAGATATTATTTTGGTATTTATAAATAGACAAAATAATTCACCTTCAGAAAGGCTATCAGATATATAGATGGTTGCCAATAGCTTCCATAAATTTAGTTAGGCATGGATGATAATAGGCTCAAATGGTCATTATCAATTTCCTCCACATCACTAGCATAGTTATCATCTTCAACCACTTCACCATCAATATCCACTTGAGTAAAGCCTTCAAAATCATCATTGGGGTCCTAAACTCCTAAAAAAAGGGTTTGTTAGATATTTACGCAGCCATTTTTGTTTACAAAAAATTGCAAAAAATTTAACGTTGGTTTAATCGATGTTACACCTCATGTAGAGTCTAAAAGAATTCAAAATGGTGTTGGAAAACGGAAGTTTAGCCTTGTTCCAAAGCAGTAGTAGGCGATTTCCAGCTTAAAATACTGGAAATAACAGTTGACAAGTGTTTATTTATAGCAACCGTCTTAAGGTGGCAGAATGCACCTAGAGTAGCAAAGAGAGAGAATTCTATGGTGACTTCTTGCCTGCACTGTGGTAAAGGTTAAACCAAGAAATAAAGAATGTGTTCTGGGATACTATGAACTAACTAATTCTTGTAGTTAAATTGTAAGGAAGGCCTTTTAATATAGTCATCATAATTGTATATGCATCAACAACAAAGTACAGAATAGGAAATTTAAATCTTTTGCTGTACACTAGACAGTGCCATGGCTTAATGCAAATTGCAAGGAATTATAATCGTCATTAGAGACCTGAATGCCAAAATCAGGAATGAACAAGATGGTGAAATATTTGGAAAATTTGGACTAGGAATCTATAATGAATCCAGAGAAAAATAGGTTCAATAGTGCATGGCAAATGATCAGGTAGTAGCAAACACATGGTTTCAAGAACACCCACAACATTTATGGACAAGAGGAAAAACTAAAATCCAAATCGATTACATAACAATCAATGAGATTCAGAAATGCAATTTTATGCTGTAAAACATGCCCAAGTTCTGACTGCAGAAGCAACCACTTTCCAGTGGCCAAAGCAGCAGCAAAATTGCAATATGACAAACTTCTGAATGATCCAAATTTGAAGAAGCTGTATATGGACAGCATTAAAAACAGATACAATGAAGTAAATGTGAATGAAAATTCAAGTTGGATATATTAAGAGAAGCGTTATTAACATCAGCAAACAAGATATCCCAAAGAGGACTAGATGACATGAAATTTTCAACATGATAAAAAGGCTACAAGGAGCAATGCC